TACAGCAGGCTGCTCCAGGGCTGTATCCAGTCGGGTTTTGAATATCTCCAAGGATGGAGACTCCACGACTTCTTTGGGCAACCTGTTCCGGTGTTTGACCACCATCACAGTAAAACAAATTTTTTTTCTTATGTTTAAATGGAATTCCTTTTATTTCAATTTGTGCCCATTGCTTCTTGCCCTTTCACTGGATACCACCAAGAAGAGTCTGGCTCCATCTTCTTTACTTACTTCCACTATATGCATTGATAAGATTCCCCTCCCCTCCCCGAGCCTTCTGTTCTCAAGGCTAAACAATCCCAGCTTAGCCTCTCCTCGTAAGTCAGATGCTCCGCACCCTTAATCATCTTAGTGGCATACTGCTATAGATGAGCCAAAGCATGTTAAAATATACATTAGTTGAAAATGAGTAATTCTATACCAGTGAGAGTCCACAAGGACCTTCAGATTTTGGATAACTGCACAACAAATAGAAAAACCTTCTTACTAGCTTTTGTGTTAGCCACAGGAGTACTGTAACCCAGTCTGCTGATATGTGGGTCCAGAGGCTGCAACAAACTTGCATAGTGTTTTTTCTCAACCAGCCTGAGGGAGAGTATTCATTATGGCTGTATTTCTTTCTGAAACAGATCTCCGTTTACTCCTGCCTTTGCTCTCACTTTTCCCATACGTGTCTGTTTCTCCTCTTCTTGATTCTTTTGAATTCCTATCAGAAAAGGAAAGCATTTTTACTAATGGCTTTAGTTGTGATCTTGAGGGCTCCGACACTGCTGGGAGTTTGGCCTGGTGTACTTGGACTCAGGCTTTTCTTCCATGTTCTCTTTAAACCTCCTGACTGTGGTCTAAGAGCCAGCTATGACATGAGCATATTGTGAGATGCATATTCCAGTATCTGATTTTCCATTCCAGTGCCTCTGCTGCTTCAAGAAGACCAACAGTATTGCTGGATACAGGCTCTTCAGGGATTTAAAAACCCCCGACTCAAGCAGAGAGACAAAACACTTCTGTCTACAGTAGTTTCCCCTTGAGAGAGCAGTTGGCATATTCCCACACCCCGAGACTGAGTCTAGACTAACCTCTCTTCTTTGTCAGGATTGATCCTGACACTGAGGCTATTGATTTTCTTTTGGAACAGCCTAAGTGACTCTGCAACTGGTAAATTAACTGGTGGATAAATCTGATTCTTGTGTAGGCCTTATGGCCATTTTTGAGTTGTTCTAGACCAGAAAGGCCACCTGTGAGGTCCAAAAGCTTTTGGAATGGTGACATCCAGTAATCTGACTTGTTGAAACTAACTGGCTTCATCTGGTAGAGCAAGCTGAAAAGTCAAAGAAGCAGAGACATGGCACTTTGACTGCTGAAAGTCTGGAGCCAGCATCTCAACCGCACACTCATAAAGTCAGGCTCTTAGTCACAAGCCTTTCAGCTAACACTGATTACTACTGCTGTGAAAATCAGGGCTCCCAGATTCCCACTCTTACTTAATAAAATATTCTTTGTTGCCAAGGTTTGCCCTATTACCATCACCCTCATGCTGTCGGCAGGGAATTCCTAGTGCTGCACAAAGGCATCCCCTGTCGATCTCAAGGTGGGGCAACAGTCAAATCAGCCGGCACGTTCTCTGAAATTCAGATGCAATTCCTGCCAAAGGTTAAGATGCTCTTCGGCTGCCTGCTTGAGGGCATTTCTGAGGGCTCTTGAAGCTAGGAAGGTCAGATGCCATTTGTCCCGTGAGCAGGATAAAGAAGATAATAATGACCATTCACTCATCCAGCCACCAAAAGGCTGATTCCTGCTTCAAACCTTTTTGAGCATGACCTGATTCTGCACTGCTTTCTTCCCTGCAATCTCAAAGAACAGTGACACCACATGTGATGCCAATTCTTGCTCTTTTCTTTTGACTGTGACAAGACGATTCAGACAAAAATTATTTCCCTTCGCTGCTGGAATGCTCTGCCATACTCCAGTACCTATTTGAGTTCAGCAGTGTTCAGTGTGGTCTTTGTCTCAGCAAACCTCCTGTGCAATGCCATCTGTACCAGCAAAAGAGCCAGGCTTTCTTTCAGAAAACCCTAAAACACATTCAACTCTTTGGCAAGAAAGTAGTTGCTAATTGCCAGGCTCCTGTTCCCAAGTATGATTATAGGACTTTGTATTGGGTTAGGGAACACTGGTTTTTGTTTTTTTGTTTTTTTTTTTTTCCTGAGGTATTTTAAAGAGGAGTAGAAGAGTCCTGGGATCTCTCATCAACAAAGTCATCTCAGCTAGGCAGGTGTGAGCGGAACCAGGACCAGCCTCTCCAGCTCCTTAGTTTTTCAGTTTTCCTATACCAGTGTGTCCTCTTCTCACCTTCTTTCTCACCAGTGTGTCCTCTTCTCACTTTTCCTTCCAGCAGAAAGCTGCTGTCTTAGGCAGTGCCACGCACAGTGTTCCAAGCTCTTCTTTTAATCTTGCCATGCCTCTCTTTTCAAAAGTTGACATGGCTTTTGGATGCCTTTCAGTTCTTCCTGTTTCTTGATAGGGTTGATATGTCTCATCACGTGGAGATATTTATTTGCAGTTATAGCATCCTACTCAAAGTTTGTAACAGTAGCTTCATTCAAGGTATTGCACATTTGGGAAGCTTCCATTCTTTCTTGATGCAAATTATCTCCCACAGCATGAAAAAAAAAAGTTAAGAGTGGTTTAAAATGCCAAAATAAGGTACTGTATGACAATGACTAAGGCTTATTCCTCTCCTTCAAATTTGGTTAGCATCATTAATGCCAATTATACAGGTGAATTTTCATCTGGAGAGTTTGTCCTAGATACTTTCCTTTTAAACGCACTGGTACTTCTCCAGCTGCAACTCTAAATATTGCTCATGCGTGCTCTGCTCTTACGACTCTCAGTTTGGCTAGTCGTCAAATGAAAACATCATCCTTTGTGTGTTGTTAAATTAGAAGTTTATCCAGGACTGCTTAAGCATAAAGCTGCTAGTCCGTGTCTGTATACTTTGGGGGTTTTTTTGTTTGTTTTTTTGGGTTTTTTTTAACTGAGTGCAGTAATCTTTTTACAGGTAGTTTTTCAGCTTCAATCAAAGAAGTGTGTTGTATGTCAAGAAGGTGATCGTAGCATCATCCTGCCTCCATGTCAGCATTATGTACTTTGTGACCACTGTGCAGCTAAACAAGAAGAATGTCCTTGTTGCAAGAAAAAAAAAAATCAGTGGTAACATAGAGGCATAGTACTTATATCATGTTCATGAATTAAATATATTTTATGTTCTAGTATTTTATATAAGAGCTATATCAGTAGTAATTAATCCATTTAATAGTGCTAGACTGATTTCCATTCTGATACGATAAACTTAGTTGTTTTAAGATAGAGAATAAACGTTTGTTCACCTTTACATATCAACTTCACAGTTTTGATGAGGTTCTATAATCTTGAGGTTCTTTCATTCCCCTCAACCATGTTCCAGCCTTTTCGACTTCCACTTACACTCCTAGTGCACAAGCTACTTGGGTTCCTTTGCACTGTAGTCACTTTGTATAAATCTTACCATAATGCCTGAATGAAGTGTTTATACCTGTTATTGCCATTAACAAAAAAAATAGATATGTAGCTACAGTAACAACACACTCAACAGTAGAAATGGCCCCTTTGCCAGTTCTGTTGTACGTGGTATGCCAGACTCAGTATATTGAAATCGGTCTAACACTATATTTACTTGGTTATTTGAAGAACTCTAGTTGATGTAAAAGCACTTTTTAATAGTTGGGTTTTTTTTTTAGAGGATATGTTACAAATTGCTTCAAGCTGCTTTCTAGTTTTTATGTTTATTTTTTTAATATGCAATAAATGAAGCTTTATATGTGTACTGTGAATTTAAAATATTTCACACAGTTTTACTGTTAAATCATATTATTAAATAGAAAAGAAAACTTACCTAGAATTTTTACAGTTTACAAGTTAACTGCATACTATAGTATTTGTAAAGGTACCAGCGGAGAGAAAAAACAGTGAGGCACATATGCTTTCAAACAGATCAGTTTTAGAAACCAACTGTGCACCTGCATATTTCCCTCAGTTTGGATGTTTGCAGTCTTACACTTTTTGTAAACCCCCTAAGCTGCGTGGTATGCATCAGGAGCAGATGTGATATATATGATGACTTTTACCAAGTGCCTATGCCAAATACCCTATAAAATGGCAGAAGACATAAAAAAAAGAGATTTTGCAAATAGTTTCTAGCACTTAATTTTGTATTGAACAATTTGATGATAATTAGAGCCTATGTCTTACTTTTATAAATGTTTAAAAATATACTTTTTTCAGTAGCAGAGTAATGCACTTTTGAATGGTACTACAAAATTAATTAAACATAATCAGGCAGTGGCACTTTGACACAATGATTCTTTTGAAAGACGATAATATCCTTATTTCATCCTGGTAGTTGGGAATATGCAATTCAGGAGAAGTTAATTCCTGTACGTGAACACTGTATACTGCTACTTTTCTTAAAAGGAATTAATTGCCTGTGTTGTTCCTTTTCCTGTGATACTAGTACAGCTTACATTGAAATGACCTACTACTGTGTTACATAATTTGTATCTCCATATTATGCATTCAATACAAGAAGTGAGTTTGCACAGGCAGCAAAGAGTTAATCTATTTAAAGCTCAGTCGTGCTGAAACAAAAAACAAAGTGTATACTAACAATTATTATTGTTGAAGTAGAGCTTTTAGAATTGCGTCAGTGTTAAAGGGCCCAAGTCAAAAGTAATTAAATCACTGCGTTTCCATTGGGTTTTTTGTGCACTTTATACAAAGGCTTCAGTTAGCCAAAAAAAAAAAAAAAAATTACACATTTAATTTAATACCTAAATGTACAGACTCATTGCTGCTTTCCTAAAACATGTCAGTCTGCAAAACCATTAAAAAGAACTTTTGAGAAAGGGGACGTAGGATAAAAATCTTAAATATATTTTTACTTGTTTCCGTTTCAAAATGTTGTCTAAAAATCACAGCACTACCTTTTAAATAAAGATCAAAGTTAGGCTTAGTAATACAATTTCACTGACTTCACATAGCTTCTCCCAAAGTTTTGTATTGAGTATAAAATTAGACTGCACTTGCATTTTCAACTACAATTTTCTGTCCTAAAAAAGAGATCTCTCTGTTTTAAAGGTGCAGCCATCTTTGAACTTTTTAAAAGAAGAGCTTGGATCACCAAGTTTAGCTGTAGGTATTAATGTCTTTTCACATTTGTGCAGTATATGAAAAAGTCTGATTTTAGAACCTTAAAAGTCATTTTGGACTAAAGCAAAATTAATTATGTAAGATTTTTAAACACTAACCATATCAAAGAATAATGTGTAATTATAGTTTGAAATTATTTTATGTATTTTTCAAACAAGCAATTGGTTTTGGAAGCAAGTCTACTATATTTATCTACAGTGTGGAACAGCATTCTACAACCATTGTGCTAACAAAAATTTTTAGAAACATCTTAGTGAAAACTTTTTCTTTGGTATTTTAGAGGAAGCCAGCTTAGTTCACATTGTGGCCATATGCAGCATTGTGACATTTGTTACTTAAGAGATATGGAAATATGATTTTGTGCTGTCTTGTCAAAGTTTACAGTTCTTCATATGTATCTTAGTGCATTTGCCTATGATCCTAGGGCTATTTCTTTGGTCTTTTTTTGTAGTAACAGGGGATTTTTCTTATCTTGTGACGCCAAAAAAAGACGATTTTTAACAGCACTTGCAGAGTGAATAATCAGATTGACATTCATAGCTTATATGTGCTGCACTTTTAGAGGAAATCAACTAATAAGTATGTTTAGTCAGTTGCTTTTTAAACAGTTGTATGTTTTGTATTTTACAATGATGAATCTTGAAAATAATGATGTGTGTCCTATTGTATATCATTACTGAAAATTTTATGGTGTTCCATTTAAGCCTTTCCTGCGCAGAATTATGGACACACTTAAATCAAACTATTTGGTCAAGAAGGAAAAAACACAGACCAAAGAAATGTACCTGAGAGTGAAATTCTCAGACTGTGTAGCTTATTACAATTACAGATGGACCCTTTGGTAGTCATGTGAACCATATGTAGTATTCACATGAAAACACTATAGTAGTTCTTCACAAAATCCTTTTTGGGAGGAATTATTAGCACAGATTCATGTATCTTATTAGAACAAGTCAACAGCAAATATATGAATATGTACCTTTAACTTTAAAATGGAGGATAATAAAATATATGCAGCTGACTAGAGATGACTGTTTGGAAGAAGACAGAAGGGAAACCTGACTTTTATTAGTATTTGTCCTTGTGTTATATAAACTATCTAGAAACTAGATACACTAAAATATATATTTTAGTGAAGATACAGTGTGGTTAATTTGTTGGATTTACAAAATACATAAAAGCAACATAAGTAGATTTTCAACGTTCATTCTGGTATTTGACAAAGTTTCATGTTAATTTATGTAAGAATGTAATTTTTAATGTGAAGGCCATTATGCTGTCATCATTATTTTAGCCTGGGGAATGATAGATTAAAATTGTGATTTCTCAGGGTTTTTACAGTTAAGAGTTGTAACTGAAAGTATGCTAATTTCAGATAGATCCCAAGGTGCATGTTATAGGCTTATTATTAGTCTTCTTTGAATAGCGGATTATTAAAGACACATTTGTTCTGTTGTGTATTGCCATTCAGAGTATCCTGATATTAAATATAAGTAGTAATATTATTACTGTCAAAATATATTTGTGTAACTGTGGTCAGCATCAGACCTTAAATAAATATTGAATTTTTACTCATATTAATTTATGGAAGCCATTAATGTTTTGAGTGTACAGACAGAGATGATTTTGTGAATGGAGTTGTTCTTAATACAAAATGCATTATTTATAATGCATACTCATTTACTTGTAGTGAACTGTTTAAAATTGATAACACTTGTTAAAACTTTTTTACACAATAGCATTTATGCAATGGTTTACAGAAGTCATGGAATTATTTTTATTATCAACATGCAAATAAAATTTTGATCTTTATTTCTGAGCTGTGTTGTGTTTCCAGAGAATCAAATTGTTCAGGCCCTGAAAGCCCTGCCCAGGCGTTCTCACCAGCCCCCAAACCCTGCCCAAGTGCCTCCAAAGATCCGCAAAGTTGCCCCAAGGCCCCAAAACACCACAAATCCTTCAGGGCCTCCAAATCCTGCCCCATGGCCCACAACCCCTCAATACCCTGCCCAAATGCCCGCCCACCTGCCCCAGGGCCATGAAACACCCTACACCCTGTTCCAGGCCTCCCCGAAGACGCCCCCCCTAAATCCTGCCCGACAGCTCACACCAATTCCAAACTCCCTCGCGCCGACGCCCGAACCTGCCCGGGGCCCCCGGCC